AGAGGAACTACAGGCCTTACCTAAAGACTCTGTAATCACTGAGACCATGACAGAGCCTGAGGAAGTCACAACTATACGTAGAGTTATCAGAAAGAGGATTATCAAAAGGATAGTTATGATTGATGGCAAACCCGTTGAGACAGAGGAGGTTGTGGAAGAACCTGAAGACGTCAGTGAAGAAACAGTTAAAGCCTTACCTGCTGATTCTGTTGTCACTGAAACTATTACAGAGCCTGATGTCACCACAACTCACAGAATTGTTAGAAGAGTCATTAAAAAGATCATTATGGTTGATGGTAAACCTGTTGAGACAGAAGAAGTTGTGGAAGAACCAGATGTCAGTGAGATGATTCAGAGCATAAAACCAACTGATACTGCCATTACTGAAGAAATTACAGAACCCACAGTTTCCAGAGTAATTCATAAAAGAATTATGGTTGATGGCAAACCAGTAGAAAGAGAGGAAGTCATAAACAAGCCTGTGGACATTAGTGGAGAAATGGTTGAGAGAACACCAGGAGATTTGACCATCACAGAACCTGATGAAGTAAGTACCACAACTGTGCGTAGAATCATTAGGAAGAGAATCATCAAAAAGATTGTGATGATTGATGGTAAACCTGTAGAAACTGAGGAAGTCATTGAGGAGCCTGAGGAAGTTAGTGAAGAGATGGTTGAGGGAATGCCAGGAGAATCAGTTATCACGGAGACCATAAAAGAACCTGAAGAAGTAACTACAATTCATAGAATCATCAGGAGAAGAATCATCAAGAAGATCATTATGGTCGATGGTAAACCTGTTGAGACTGAAGAGGTTGTGGAAGAGCCTGAGGAAGTAACCGGGGAAATGATCGAGGCAAAACCAGGAGAATCAGTTATCACTGAGACCATCACAGAACCTGATGAAGTAACCACAACAACTGTACGTAGAATCATCAGGAGGAGAGTCATCAAAAAGATTGTGATGATTGACGGTAAACCTGTTGAGACAGAAGAAGTTATCGAGGAGCCTGAGGAAGTAAGTGAAGAGATGGTTGAAGGAGCTCCAGAAGAATCATTCATCACTGAGACTATCACTGAACCTGAGGATGTGATTACCACTCACAGAATTATCAGGAGAAGAGTCATCAAGAAGATCATTATGGTTGATGGTAAACCTGTAGAAACGGAGGAGGTTGTGGAGGAACCTGAGGAAGTCACTGAAGAGGAGTTGCAAACCTTACCTAAAGACTCTGTAATCACTGAGACCATCACAGAACCTGAAGAGGTGACCACAACTCATAGAATCATCAGGAGAAGAGTCATCAAGAAGATCATCATGGTTGATGGTAAACCTGTAGAGACTGAAGAAGTCGTTGAGGAACCCGAGGAAATTAGCAAAGAGATGATTGACGGAGTGCAAGATAAATCAGTCATCACAGAGACCATGATGGAACCTGAAGGGATAACTACAATTCAGAAAATCATTAGAAGAGTTAAGAAGATCATTATGGTTGATGGTAAACCAGTAGAGACCGAAGAGGTAATGGAGGAGCCAGAAGAGGTCAGTAAGATGCAAACCTTGCCCAAAGATTCTGTTGTAACTGAGACCACCACAGAACCTGAAGAGGTGACCACAACTCATAGAATCATCAGGAGAAGAGTCATCAAGAAGATCATTATGGTCGATGGTAAACCTGTTGAGACTGAAGAGGTGGTGGAAGAGCCTGAGGAAGTAACCGGGGAAATGGCTGAGGCAAAACCAGGAGAATCAGTTATCACTGAGACCATCACAGAACCTGATGAGGTGACCACAACAACTGTGCATAGAATCATCAGGAGGAGAATCATTAAAAAGATTGTGATGATTGATGGTAAACCTGTAGAAACTGAGGAAGTTGTAGAAGAACCAGAAGAGGTTAGCGAAGAGGAGTTGCAAGCCTTACCTAAAGACTCTGTAATCACTGAGACTATCACAGAACCTGAAGAGGTGATCACTACTCATAGAATCATCAGGAGAAGAATCATCAAGAAAATCATTATGGTTGATGGCAAACCTGTGGAGACTGAGGAAGTAGTAGAAGAACCTGAGGAAAGTACAGATGGAGAACCTGTACCTATTATTTCTGGAGGTACGCGTGTTGTGAAAAAGAATGTTAAGATCAAACGTATTGTACGGATTGTTGATGGTAAAGAGGTTGTCGAAGAAGAAAGATCTGAGACTCCAGAAGAAGTGCTTGAGTATCCTGAAGGTACAGGCAGTGACCAGCCTTTAACTTTACCAATCAGTCAGGACATAGAAAGCATACTTTCCGATGCTGCCCAGTCCCCAGAGACTCCAGTTCAGCAAGCCAGGGTCATCCGTCAATTGCGGATTGTGGATGGTCAACCAGTTGTATCTGAAGAAATCCTGGAAGGAGCTGAAAATATACCAAGTGATACCAGTGTTTTGGAAACACGAAATATCCAAGTTCATGCTGTCAGACGTAGAATGAAGGTAATTCGTCGTGTACAGATCATCAATGGAGAAAGAGTTGTAACAGAAGAAGTTGTTGAAGAACCAGAGACAGAGTTTGGAATGCCAGAAGATGGATCTGGAGTTACTGTCACTGACATGACCGAAGGTACTCCATTCCCCATACCTCAGACAGAAATTTCTGAAGCCCCATCTCCATCTTCTGTAATTCCTCTTCAGTGGGAAGAAAAAACCTATCCTTCAGGCATTCCCAAGAGTGAACCAGAAGAAAAAATCACAGGAGAAGCTTACAAGATCACTGAGGTGATGTCCAAAAAGCCTCCAACAGAAGAACGCCCTCAGGATCCATTCCCAGCACCAGTGAGCTCTTTCCCAGCCCCAGCTCCAGTCTCTGATGCAAAACCAAAGGATGCAGCTGAGATCTGGTCTGGAACTCTTTACACCAAAGCTAGTGTAGATGATTCCTCAAAAGAGCCCATCCCAGATACTGCTGGTCAGGCTCCAGCCTTCCCTGAACAGCCAGCTCATCATGAATCTGAGGAAGATTTTGAACCATATCCTCAGCCTGGTGACAGTCAAGGAGAAGAACCATGGGAGGAAATAGCCCATGATCTTATTGGAGTAACACGTGAGATATCTTTGACAACTGATAGTGACTCAAGAGAAGTCAAAGACTCTGAAGACCAGAAGACCAAAGCATTCCCAAGCCCTGGAGATCTGGCAGTTCGGCCTGAAGATCTCAAGCCTGTTTCTAAAGAAAGAAGATCTAGTGTAGGTGAATCATTCCCTTCATTTAAAAGAAGAGATAGTGGTGTTGCAGAATTGTGCAAGATATTTGAATCTCCTACAAAGAGCTATGATACACCTGTATACCAGAGACCGAAACCAGTTGTGACAAGAGAGAAAATCCAGGATACTACTAAACCTTATAAGTCTGTGGAAATACCAGCTTGGCCCCCTAGCAAAGAAAAAGATTCATCTGTAAAGCCGTTCCCCAGACCAGTAGGGGACGTACCCCTGCCATCCTACAAAGATTCTACTGTGCCAAGGGATCCAGTAACAGGCTGTAGGATCTTCCTGGAAGAAAAGTATACTCTCATTCCAAGAGATCAACAGATAGAGAAGATCACAGATATGCCTTCTGGATCACCTGCAGCACCTGCTCCTTCACCTGATTTCCCAGAAAGAAGAGAAGATCTGGAACCATTTGCAAGACCATTTGAATTTGGTGGAGATTTCCGGTTCCCAGAATATGTTAGGCAAAAGTCTGATACTGACAGGGAGCTGCAAACCCCCACGCAACCTCAAACACCTTCCTGGGAAGAAAGATTATATCAGAAACATATGGATAATGTAACACCTACATCTATCCCTCAGACCTCAGAGACAGCACCTGGCTTGCCAGAAAGGGGTATGGCACCGCCAGTAGATGTAAGGCCACAGTTCCCATCTCCACAAGAGAGTTACCCATGCCCAGTTCCCTCTGAGGAGATTCAAAGAGTTTCTGACATTAGGTCATCCCAGTTGTGGGTAACAGGTCATTACCAACAGCCCACTTCTGCTGACCAAAGAAAAGACATCCCACAAGAGGAATCAACTCCTATGTTACCTCCAACATATGCTGAGCTTGCAGCAAAGATGGTACCAAGCTTCCCAACTCCAGGAGAAGCACCTGTGAGAGATGGAAAAGAGCCTCCACAGTATGCAGAGAGAGAAGAAACAAAGAGGGAAGAGGTGTTCCCATTGCCTCTTGTCTCTCAAACTGAGGAAACCCTGCGAGATGTGACATCAGTGTCAGTTTGGCCAGAAAAGATCTACAGTAGGGTAGATGTCAGGGAAGGAGAGGAGAGACTATCACCTGAAGGTGATACAAAAGTTCCAGCACCTACTCTGCCAGCTGAGAGTCCACAATTTGTTTCAAGAGAACCAGCATTTCCAGTTCCTATTGGAGAATTCCCAGTGCCATCTCAAAAGAAAGGTGAACCGCAAGAAGCAGAAAGATCGAGTGAACTATTCAAAGATGTATTGTACATTCATGAACCACCTGAGGAAGAGCTCAGACTCATCAGTGATGAAAAGTATGTAGAAAAGGCAGCCCCTAAGTCACCAGAGTTCAAGAAGGAGCTTGTTGATACACCAGTAGCTCCCTTCCCTGAACCAGGGAAGCCATCAGCTACACCTAAGGATGAGGATAAGTTCCCAACTCCTGTTGTAGGTCTCGTTGATGAGCCTCGAGATGTAACATCAACTCCTAAGTGGACAGAGGAACAGTATGCTAGGAGTGATGTATCTGTGAAGGATGTTGACATCCCTCAGTATGACACTACAGCAATGTTGCCACCAGCACCAGTGAAAGCTCCTCCTTCATCTAAAGACGATACACCATTCTCTCAGCCAGTAGGCGAATTCCCAGAACCTACAGAGAAACCTGATGACAGACCAAGTGTACCTGCAAGTCAGATACACATGGAAACCCTCTATGCAAGATCCCCTGATGTAAAAGAAACTAGAGGAATTGAGGAACAGAAAGACCTTGAACTTCCTTCTAAAGAAAGGCCCAAGTATGAGGAAGTTGATGTAGCAAAGGAGGCAGAACCATTCCCTATGCCAAAGGTGCTTGTTCCAAAAACTGAGAAGGTAGAGATAGTTGAAGAGCTTTCAAAGCCTCAAGAACTCCCATTCACCCCTCCAGAGTTTAAAGAAACGCCAAGCAAGAAGATTATTGAGGCATTCCCAGAACCAGTAACGGTTCTAACTCAAGAAACACCACAGGATGTTATTTCAGTGTCACAATGGATGGAAGAACTCTATCCATCCAAAGAAGTTGTGGTACAAGATCGTACACTAGAGGAAAGAGAAAGAAAAGATAAATTACCTGAAATACCAGTAAAAGCTCCAGAGGACATACCTGTGGTAGCAGATTTCCCTCTTCCAGTAGGAGATTTCCCAGAGCCTCTCAAAGAAGCAGGTGAGCCAAAGGAGGGATTGAAAACTCAATTATTCTCAGAGATTGTTTACAAAAAGCCAGAAGTGACAGAGGGCCCCAAACTTGAAATTGAAGAAGATGTTTGGGAGGAAGCTGTTTCAGATATTCCTGACTTCGGGAAAGCCGATGATGTTAAGGTTCAGGCTCCCTTCCCAGTTCCAGTAGGTGATGTCTGTCAAACAGTTGAGTCCCAAGGAATGGAACCACCTGTATATGAGGACAGTGATGAAGACAAATTTGAAGACTTTCCAGAAATCACAACAAGCATACCTGATGATACACCTGAAGATGTCTCAACAGTCAGTCCATGGCAGGCTGATATGTATAAAAAGAGTGAGCCAGTGGAGGTGGGTAGGATACCCCAAGTAACAGAGGAAATCACTGTGCTTCCTCTACCAATGAAGAGACCTGAAGAAAGGACACTGGAAGAAGGTTTCCCAGAACCAGAAGCACAATATCCTAAACCAGCTGATGGTATTGACGAGCCTCCTGCTGGCCCAGATGCTGTCAAGGTATTTTCAGAAGTTGTTTATACCGAAGTGGTTAAGACTGAAAAACCTGAAGCAATTGAAGGGCCTGAAGACCTCGAATATCCTGCAGTTCAACCACCAGCATATAAGGAAACCGAACCAGTGCCCACTGAACCTTTCCCTACCGTTGGTGTTCAGGGACCAGTAATAGAAAGTATTGAAGAAATCATTAGCCCTGAAGAAACTGCTACTACACGAAAAATTGTACGGAGAGTTATAAAGAAGATCGTTATAATTGATGGTAAACCAGTGGAGACAGAAGAAGTTGTAGAGGTGCCCGAAGAAGTTGAAGGAGCTCAGGATGAGTCAGTCATTACTGAGACTGTAACTGTGCCTGAGGGAGTTATTACTACACATAGAGTCATCAGGAGAAGAATTATTAGGAAGATTATTATGATTGATGGTAAACCTGTAGAGACAGAGGAAGTTGTTGAAGAACCTGAGGAAATTAGTGAAGAGATGCTTCAGGGAACACCAGCAGATTCAGACATCACTGAGACCATCACAGAACCTGATGAAGTAACTACCACAACTGTGCGTAGAATCATTAGGAAAAGAATCATCAAAAAGATTGTAATGATTGACGGTAAACCTGTTGAGACAGAAGAAGTTATCGAGGAGCCTGAGGAAATAAGTGGAAAGATGGTTGAGGAATCTCCAGAAGAATCAGTCATCACAGAGACTATCACTGAACCTGAGGAAGTTATTACCACTCATAGAATCATCAGGAGGAAAGTCATCAAGAAGATCATTATGGTTGATGGTAAACCCGTAGAAACGGAGGAGGTTGTGGAGGAACCTGAGGAAGTCACTGAAGAGGAGTTGCAAGCCTTACCTAAAGACTCTGTAATCACTGAGACCATCACAGAACCTGAAGAGGTGACCACAACTCATAGAATCATCAGGAGAAGAGTCATCAAGAAGATCATTATGGTCGATGGCAAACCTGTTGAGACTGAGGAGGTTGTGGAGGAACCTGAAGAGGTTAGTGAAGAGAAGCTACAGGCTTTGCCTAAAGACTTTGTCACAACTGAAACCATCACAGAACCTGATGAAGTAAGTACCACAACTGTGAATAGAATCATTAGGAGGAGAATCATCAAAAAGATTGTGATGATTGATGGCAAACCTGTAGAAACTGAGGAGGTTATTGAGGAGCCTGAGGAAGTTAGTGAAGAGATGGATGAGGGAATGCCAAGAGATTCAGTTATTACAGAGACTATAGAAGAACCTGAAGAGGTGACCACGACTCATAGAATCATCAGGAGAAGAATCATCAAGAAGATCATTATGGTCGATGGTAAACCTGTTGAGACTGAAGAGGTGGTGGAAGAGCCTGAGGAAGTAACCGGGGAAATGATCGAGGCAAAACCAGGAGAATCAGTTATCACTGAGACCATCACAGAACCTGATGAGGTGACCACAACAACTGTGCATAGAATCATCAGGAGGAGAATCATCAAAAAGATTGTGATGATTGATGGTAAACCTGTAGAAACTGAGGAAGTAGTGGAGGAACCTGAGGAAGTCACTGAAGAAGAGCTGCAAGCCTTACCTAAAGACTCTGTGATCACTGAGGCCATCACAGAACCTGAAGAGGTGACCACGACTCATAGAATCATCAGGAGAAGAATCATCAAGAAGATCATTATGGTCGATGGTAAACCAGTAGAGACCGAAGAGGTTGTGGAAGAGCCTGAGGAAGTAACCGGGGAAATGGCTGAGGCAAAACCAGGAGAATCAGTTATCACTGAGACCATCACAGAACCTGATGAAGTGACCACAACAACTGTGCATAGAATCATCAGGAGAAGAATCATTAAAAAGATTGTGATGATTGATGGTAAACCTGTAGAAACTGAGGAAGTAGTGGAAGAACCAGAAGAGGTCAGTGAAGAGGAACTACAGGCCTTACCTAAAGACTCTGTCACGACCGAGACCATCACAGAACCTGAAGAGGTAATCACAACTCATAGAATCATCAGGAGAAGAATCATCAAGAAGATCATTATGGTCGATGGCAAACCTGTTGAGACTGAGGAGGTTGTGGAGGAACCTGAAGAGATCAGTGAAAAGGAGCTGCAAGCCTTACCTAAAGACTCTATGACAACTGAAACCATAACAGAACCTGATGAAGTAACCACAACTCATAGAATCATCAGGAGAAGAATCATCAAGAAGATCATTATGGTCGATGGTAAACCAGTAGAGACTGAAGAGGTTGTGGAAGAGCCTGAGGAAGTAACCGGGGAAATGATCGAGGCAAAACCAGGAGAATCAGTTATCACTGAGACCATCACAGAACCTGATGAAGTGACCACAACAACTGTGCATAGAATCATCAGGAGGAGAATCATCAAAAAGATTGTAATGATTGATGGTAAACCTGTAGAAACTGAGGAAGTAGTGGAGGAACCAGAAGAGGTCAGTGAAGAGGAACTACAGGCCTTACCTAAAGACTCTGTAATCACTGAGACCATGACAGAGCCTGAGGAAGTCACAACTGTACGTAGAGTTATCAGAAAGAGGATTATCAAAAGGATAGTTATGATTGATGGCAAACCCGTTGAGACAGAGGAGGTTGTGGAAGAACCTGAAGACGTCAGTGAAGAAACAGTTAAAGCCTTACCTGCTGATTCTGTTGTCACTGAGACTATTACAGAGCCTGATGTCACCACAACTCACAGAATTGTTAGAAGAAGAGTCATCAAGAAGATCATTATGATTGATGGTAAACCTGTTGAGACAGAAGAGATTATTGAGGAACCAGAAGATTTCAGTGAGGTAACTCAGGGTATGCCACCAACTGACATTGAAAAAGAATTCCCACTTGTTGAATCTGCTCCCCATGATGCACCAGAAGACTCAGAAGCTCTAGAAGTGTGGGAAGAAAAGTTCTACCCTGCTGAAGATCACCAACCGTTGAGACCAGAGAGCATCAAAGAGGACAAACAAGTGGCACCTGCATTGCCAACATTACCAAAGGAGCCTCCTACAATGTATGAGAGTACACCAGATTTCCCTAAGCCAGAAGAAAAGTTTGCACTTCCCATTGAGACTTATGAGGAACCTGCTGAATCCCCTGATGTTATTGCACACTTCAGTGATGCCATGTATGAGGTTCCAGCAACCCATGTTGACAAGCCAGCGATAATCCCAACCCCCAAACAACCTCCTGTGTTGATGCCTGAAGAAGGAGACTTTGAGTTAGAAGAGCCTCCAGCTGGTGTCGCATGGAGAGAGGAGTTAGTCACCACTCGTCAGATATCATCAGAAGACTCGCCTCGTGAGGAAACCAGGCGCCATTCTGAGGGCGATGAAGTTGATTTAGCCACTAGCCTTCCCAAATCAGATTCACAGGTGTCCATTGTTATCACTCCTGCTGAAGACCTGTCACCAGAGACCTCAACAGCAGATAATGACTATACTGATGCTGGAAGAACAACTTCGTATGATGAGACCAGCTCAGTCGATGAGATGTTCACAGCTGACGATGACGTACTTGCATCATCAGCCACCTCAGATAGAATCACAGATGATGAGTTGTCTGAGGATGCTCCAAGGGAGTTAACAGAAGAGTCTGAAGAAGAACTACCAGAAGAGGAGGTACATCCAGAGGAGGTTGAAGTAGTTACACCTACAAGGGAGGATACACCAGAGGATATTGAAGTGGTTTCAGTCACATATGAAGAAGCACCAGAAGCTATTAAAATCACTTGGGAAGAGCCTCCAGATGAAGTAGAGGTGGTCACACCCACCGAAGAGATCCCAGAAGTAGTGACTCCTGTTCAGGAGGAACCCAAGGAAAAGGGTGTGACACCCACACTTGAAGATGAATCTGAATTCTTTGCTTCCACCCAAGAAGAGTTCTCAGAGGATGATTTTAAAGAAAGTGTTAGCATTGTGTCACCTATAAATCAAACTGTCTCAGAAGAGAAACCTTCTGAAATTATTTTTGTAGCCCCTCCCAAGGAAAAGTCCCCTGAAAAGGTCCAGATGGCTGCGGTTGAAGAAGTCAAGATACCTGAAGTTAAGGAACGTCCAGATATACATAAAAAGGCTGTTTCAGAGACTGAAATGGTTTCAGTAGCTGAGAAAGCTGCCTCTATTCCAGCTGCTTCTGAAACCCTAGAAAAGATTCAGGTGGCCCAACAGGAGCCTGAAGAAAGTCAGGCAGAAATTATTTCTGTAATTTCGGCACCTCCAAAGACCCCAGAAAGGATACAAGTGATGCCTCTCATGCACGAAGCACCTGAGGAACTTCAGGAAGCAGATCTTGCTGAAGAAACCCCAGAAATGATCTCTGTGATCCTAACATCTCCAAGGTCTCCAGAAAAGGTTCAAGTAGTGACTGAAGTGCGAAAAGAGCCCGAGGTAGTCACAGAAAGGCCAAAAGAAGAAACTCCAGAAAAGTATCCAACTCCAGTTGAGATGCCTGATGAAAAGCAAAAGGAGTCTTCAGACAAGCGTGCAATAGCAGAAGTTCCCGAAATAAAACAGAAAGAAGCTGTAGAACATGTAACTCATGTTACAGTTGTAAAGGATTCTGATGCAGAAAAGGCACCAGCAACAGACGTTGAAATAGTAGAGGAGATCCCTAGCATTGAGCCAGAAGAAGAGGAGGAAACTTACTATGAGCCACAGGCAGACAATATTAGGGAAAGGACACCATTATCCCTGTATACTACTCACGTGAACAACCAATTTGTTACCAGTATAGATCTAGACTCCAGGCCTGTTGTTGAGGGCGTACATCCAAAGGATGATTCGCAGGGTATCCGAGACGAACTGATTGATGAACACACAGCTGGGCCACCAGCAGAGCCGCCTAGTGTGCCATCTGCACCAGTTGAGCCCGTTGAAGAGCTAACAGCTGGTGCTCCCGACACAGAAGACGATCGTAGCTTAGTTTCTGTTGATACAGAAAAGTCTTTAGTAAAATATCCAACCACAGAATTAGAAGTTATGGAAGAATGGTACACAATTTATGAGCTACTTAAACGAAAACAGAAATTGAGAGAGGAGTCTGCGGCAATAGTGGCTCCTTCTGCTCAGCTGTTATTACCTTCTTCGAAACAGCCTTCAGGTGATGAACAAAACACTCGTGTCGATGAAAATATTGTCTTGCTGCAGGATGCCATAAAGAAGAAGGATGTGGTGGTAGTGCAGAAGGTCATTATTACCATTGTGGAAACAGTCACTACCTGGCTTGAGACTATTGAGTACCGTATATACGTCATCAGAAACACTGAGGACGTCCATGAACGGGCTCAGCAGTATGAGCACCTTCGTAACGAACTTCACATTGTCGAGGAGAAGTTAACTATCTTAGAGGATGTGACTCAATCTGCTGTAGAGATCCTGAGTGAAGAGACAATTGTAACCATCCGAGAGACAGTTCGATACCTCCGGCAACAGGTTAGTCATGTTGAAAAAGTTCGTCAGGCAGAAGAGAAAGAACTAACACAGGACGAGGAAAGCTATGCCCAGTACCTGACTGCAGTTGATGATGCAGAGAAGGAAGTGTCAGATCTTAAATCACAGCTTGCTGTCATCCAGGACACTCAGATGCAGCCGGAAGAGAAAGTCGCCAAGCTTGAGACGATTCTGACAAGT